CCAGGGCTTGTCTAATCCCAGGATACAGACAACCTGACTTTGTCCCCTGGCTTCCACATCTTGCACAAGCTGGCACCCCACCGCCCGCCCAGCTGGGGATGCACTCACTAGCATGCTTGATGACCTAGGCTCAGTCCCCCCAAACAAATCTCCACTTGACTTCCTCCCTGTTTCCCACCTCTGCAAACCAACTCCTCACTCTTCTTGGCCATGCCATAGAGGTAAGAGGGAACCTTGAAAGTACCTCTGTTCTCCTCCCTCCCACCCCAAGACCCAGGAGAAAAGGACACCTCATAAGTATCCCTGTCTAAGCTTCATAAAGACTGGGGAAAAATTAGGAGTGTAGCATAGAGGTAAGGAGCAGGCGGCCAGCATTATCTATGCTAGAGTCAAGAAGATGTTAGGGTGGGCTTCAACAGAAGTGCCCCTGACTAAAGATGGATGAGTCTGATCTTACCCACACCTGGGGTTGGGTTGCTGTTACCTGCCTGAGAATCAAGGCAAAGAAAGCAGAGGAAAATAGAAGATGGCTTCAACTGAAAACCTCTGGGTCCATTCTCTGTGTCACAGTGGGAGGGACTAGGGCTAGCCCCTCCCTACTGCTGAAGATGCCATAGGGAACCTGACAAGCAGCAGCCTGTCCTCAGGGAGTTTATAATCTGTGTGCTGGATCAGTGACTGCAGAGCACCTCTCCAAGCATGCTTCCAAACAAAGCCTCCTAATCTTTTATACTAGTGTACTCCCCATCCTGTCTTCATTTTAGTCAGTTCCAAAGGATCCAAATGAAAATGGTCTCACAATTCTTTTGATCATGAAAAGACAGGAAATAGAGCCTAGGGCATTGTGAACCTGTGAATCTGGAGAAAAATATATGAAGAATCTGAGCTTCAGCAATCCCACTAATGTCTTGAGTCACCAAGTCCCATATGTTAAGGAAAGAGAGGAAGGAAGAAAGAAAGAAAGAAAGAAAGAAAGAAAGAAAGAAAGAAAAGAAGAAACAAAACAGGAATCAAACTGTTAATTATACCCTGATCCCTTCACAAGTGAGATTTCCCTCAGTACTGCAAAACCGGCTACCCAGTGGGGGGAGGGGGAGAGGAAGGACATAGATAGGAACTAGAAACCCAGAGAAGTGACAGCAAGGCCCAAGGCTAGGAGGGAGAGGATTGCAAAGGTTACAACAGACCAAGATGAGTGGAGGGAGGGCACTTAGGGAGGAACAGAGGGCAAGGGTTAGAGCTGGGGTAGGGTCTGCAGGGACAGGGAAACCCATTATGGGTAAGCATCAGGGTACAAATGAATATCCCAAACCTGATGCCATTGTTTGCTGGACTGTCACTGAGTTACACTAACCACAGTCTGCATTTGAGGCATGGCATATCATTGACCAGACATAAAACTCAAGAGTAATGAGTTCCCTGGGGCTGGAGAGATGGCTCAGTGGTTAAGCGCACTAACTGCTATTCCAGAGAACCCAGGTTCAATTCCCAGAACCCACATGGTGGTGACTCACAACTGTCTGTAATCCCAGTTCCAGGGGATCTGACATCCATGGCAAAACACCAAAGCACATAAAATAAAAAAATAGCTAAATTAAAAAATTCAGAGTAATGACTTTCTTACTGTGGTTGAATGGGGTGAAACCTGCCCCTTTGAGATAGGATGAGGTTTTCACCTTGCATTCATCATGCTCTGTCCAATACCAAAATTGCACTAAGAAGCCCAAGGCAGCTGACAAGAAACCCTATCCCCCTAGCTTGAAGTTGACTGATACTTCAGGTGGGGCACTGCCTGGGGCTGGGGGTGGGGGGCAGACAAGGATTCCTGAGCTGGGGGAGGGGAGGTTTACAGGCAGCTTTTTCAGCAGACTGTCTTATCAATATCCAGGTCTTGGTTCTTTGGGAGGCAGTGATGGAAGGATTCCCAGCTGTGTGGGGGAGGAAGAAACAGGAGGACAGTGCTGCTCCCTAGCCTGCTGAGCTGCCAGTCTAGACAGATGATTCCTTCCCCCTTTTGGGGAAGAAGCTTGCTAGGCATGGAGACAGCAGAGCCTTGGGGCCAGAGAAAGATGGGAGTTGGTGTCTGAGCTGATACCACATGGAGTTGTGCCCAACATACACCCCGTTTACATTAGGACATGGCTGGTGGCTATGCCTGGGGGGAAGCCCAAGCAGGAGGAAGGAGCCATCATAACAGACATTTGTTCAACCCCTTCATTTATTCTTTTCTACCGGTCCTTCTGGGTATATGACTGACATCTGCCGGTCCCCAAAATGGCACTGATTTGGCCAAGTATCTAGGAAGAGTCGAGAGCTGGGACTACTGGGGATGAGACTCAAAGGAAGGGCACTTGCCTTGGGGTACAACCCCAGCACTGCAGAGAGGTAAAGAAAAGAAGGCCAGGGTAAGTTTAAGAGGTCTGTTAGAGCCTAAGGGGAAGGCCAGGACACCAGCGAGTGAGTGGTGGGATTTTGTCTCTGACCTCTATTCCACAGTGAACATGCTCAGAACTATGGCTTCCAGCTCTGTATTGACTACAAAAACAGTTCAAGTCCCTGGCTTTGGTGGCTCAAAGTCCAGGGAGGAGCTGAGCTAGAAACGTGAAAGGAATCAAATACAAAGGCAGGAGATGGTATGTAGGAATGCAGAGTCCTGGCTGTGCTTCCATCTGAATGTAACACTGGACACCTTTCTTAGCCTTTTGGAGTATCTTTCTTTGCAAGGTTATAGTGAGTAAATTTTTAAATGAAAAATGCATTGAAGTGTTTGTATATATCATACAGGAATGTATGCAAGTCATGAGGGACAAGTTTTCATATCAATAGAACACACATCAAGACATGTGGGCTTTAGAGGAGTGTGGTGGTACACTCCTGGAATCCCAGCACTCAGAAGGTAGAGACAGGAGGAGCAGAGAGTTTAATGTCCTCAGTGACCAGTGAGTTGGAGGCTATCCTGGTCTACATGAGATCCTGTCTCAAAATAAAAGCAGAGGAGGCAAAAAATTTTAAAATCAAATAAGAACAGTTGCTAGCATAATGACCTATCTAAAAAAAATTTATCTATCTATCTATCTATCTATCTATCTATCTATCTATCTATCTATTTATTTGTGTGTACACCAAAAGAGGGATTGGGTCCCTTGGGACTACAGTTACAGATGGTTGTAAACTGCCATGTGGGGGCTGGGACTTGAACTCAGGACTTCTGGAAAAACAGCTAGTGCTCTTAAATCCTGAGTCATCACTCCGGAACTGTGGAATGGTGACTTTTATCTGTCTCTTACCAGAATCACACCATGTACGCATTTTTTAGGTGACCGAGGCTGTTGCATATAGGAGCCACTCTGTTATTCTCCTTACTCTCTGTTCTATGAATGTACCCATCTACTAATAACAGTATGTAAGTTGCCAGGCTTTTCCACTTGGGGACTCTTAACACAATGCTGCTAGGACTCTTAGTGATCATGTGACCACCTCTCCCAGTGTATATAGGAATGGAACCCCTGGGTCATATGATCAGCTTGAATAGTCATTCTGGCTGCATGTCCAAGGGTGGCAAAGCACACCTGCACTGTTGTCAATAGTGATGAATTTCTCATCCTCTTCATCCTTGCCCACACTTGGTATTATAAGGCTTTTTCATTTTGCCATTCTAGTCACTATTTAGAGACTATTGCTTATGACCTTAGCTTAGATTTTCCGGATAACTAGTCATACAGAACATTTCTTAACCACTGTATATCCTATTTTATGAATCACTTGTTCAGATTTTTCACTCATTTTGAACTTGACTTCTGTCTTTTTACTGAGAATTTATGAGTTCATTTTTGTGTGTGTGCTGACAGGTTTTTTCCCAGATTCTTGTACTGTAAACGTCTTTCTCCACTGAGGGCTTTGTCTTTTTGCTCTTAATGGAAACCCTTGACAAAGAAAAATTCTTACTTATCAATATTTTTCCTTCACAGTTAGTACATTTTATGCCCTGCCTGAGAGGTATTTGCAAAAATCAAGAAAATCACCCCCCCCTTTTTTTTTTTGGAAGCTTTAGTGTTTTGCATTCTGTATTTGTGTCTATAATCTTCCTGGGAAGATTGATGTATATATGCAGTGTTAAGTAGGAGTCATGATGAATTTCTTCATGACTTCATGGCTGAGGATACAGTTGGTATCATGATTACCTGCCATGCATGAAGCCCTGGCTTTGATTCCTAGCACCACCATCAGGTGTGCTGGAACATACCTGTAATCTCAAAGCCTGGGAGGTGGAAGGTTCAAGGCTCATTTGGCTACACAGTAACTCTGTGGCCAACCTGACCTATAGAAGACCCTGACTTTTATTTTGTTTTTTAATGAGTTTCATAACCATTTGTAATCCCAACACGTGGAAGGCAGAGTTCAAGGTCAGGAGTTCAAGGTCATCTTAACTGCATAGCAAGTTTGAGGTTAGCTTCTACTACATGAGACCCTGTCTCACAAACACCCAAACTAATAATGATGATGATGATGATAAATATACATAGATGATAAAGAGATAGAATCTTTTTCCAAATGGATACCAGCAGTTGTTTTCCCACTGCTCGGCAGTATCACCTCCGTCATAAATCAGGTGTACTGTGTGGAGTTCTGTTTTTGATTCATGTCTTCCTGTTGATCAATCTAACTATATGTAAATATCATGTTTTCTTTCTTTCTTTCTTTCTTTCTTTTTTTTTTTGAGACAGGGTTTTGTGTCTCCCATGCTGACCCAAATTCACTCTGTATCTGAAGATAGTTCTGAACTCTTGATTCTTCAGCTTCTACTAAGTTGCCGGGATAACAGGAGTGTGCTACTGTGCACAGCCTGACACCGTCTTGATTACATCTGGTAACCTCCACCTCCTAGCTTCAGTCTTTTTGATATGGATTTGGTGGCAATGACTGAGGGTGTGGTGTGGGGAGATGGGTGAGAGTGTGGGTCAGGATTTACCAGTAAATGAAGAAGAATCCCCATGCAGGGAAACAATGTGCAGACTGTCTTGAATGGACATTGAGGGAGGTTCCAGAGACTCAAATGAACTAGTTCTGCCCTTCACAGTGTACAAAGCTCTTTGACATTTATGGTGTCATTGATCCATATGATGTGCCTATGGGGTCACCAAGTAAAAGCTGTAAATCATTTTCAGAGATAAAGATAGAGACTCAGGGCATTGAGAGACTTGGCTAACAAGCTCTCATGTAGGAAGCAAACAATAACTTTCACATGTCACTTTTAAAGGTACATATCCAGCTCATACCTGTAGTCCTGACTGCTGAGTCAGCAGGTGGAGGAGGGAGAATGGATAGTGGGAGGCTAGCCAGGTCTACCTATTGAGACCCCGTTTCAAAATAAAAGACAGCCACAGCTTATGGATTCATGATTTCCTGGAGAGCTTTTCTGAGACTATCAGGTAGTAGCTTGGGTCTTGAGGAGATGAACTATGGAGGTTATCTGGTAACAGTGACGGGGTGCTGAAATCCATGCTTGGAATGACCTTTGTGCAGAAATTTCCAGGCAGGGGAGCAAGTAGGCCACCTTCTAGGATGTCACTGTTCATTGAGCAGAAGACTGCAGTGGTCCTGAAAGTAGAGGATGAGAGGCAGATGTTACACATGCTGAGGAGACCTTTGAATGTGGTTAGGCCAGGTGCCCAGAATCCAGTCCAGATCAACCAGCCAGTGTATATAGCATACACATGTCTGTAGAACACACCTTTGGAGTGCTTGGTTCTCTATTCTCAAGAAAAAAAAAGCAAAAAGTATTTTTTTTCTTAACTTTCTCAGCTAATCTTGTGATTAAAAAGAAAACAGCAAACTCTTCCCCTTCAGGTAGCTGCTCTGCTGGGCTCTCTCTCTCTCAGCTGCTTTGGGTCCCAGATCCTGTCACATATGCTCTCATGAATTTTTAAAAGGGCCCCTAAGCTCTGCTTTGCTGAGATGGACGGCCTTGGCCTTGGTCCGAGCTCATCCTGTCAGTTCAACCCCTTTCATCTGTCAACTCCTTTTCAAGTGCTCAGGCATGGCCTTGCACCCTCAGTGGGAGACTGTACTTGGTGGTGGGTCAGTGCTCATCAATAGCCCTTCCTTCCTCCTCAGAGTGGAAGGGGTCACTGAGGTCTATAGATATACCCAGTGCACTTTAGGGAGTAGTTGCTGGCCTGCCTGAGAGCAGATGACAAAGGAATCCCTAGAGAGAATGGACTCAGTCAAGGCCATATACCTAGTTAGTGACTAGTGTTGTAGAACAAGTCTGGTCACCTGGTCAAGCCCATTATCATTGCTGTTCCACCATAAAGAAAGACAGGTTGAGGGCTAGTGAGATAGTTTGGTGGGTAAAAGCACTTGCCACGAAGACTGATACCTTGAGTTCGATCCCTGCAACCCACAGAAAAGTGGAAGGAGAAAATGTACTCCTAGTTGTCCTTGGACATCTACACTTACACTGTGACTTGTGTAGGCCCACACACCATGCATCACATGCATACAATAATAATGTTTTTAAAAATTAAGAAAGAGAGGTCGGGGTACTAGGGAGCTGCTCGGTTGGTAAAGGGCTTGCCATGCAAGCATGAGAACCTGTGTTCAATCTCTAGCACTCATGTTTATAAAAAACAAAAAGCCTATCTAGTGGTATGTGTTTGTTATCCCAGCCCCAGGAGATAGAGACTGAGGCAAATTGACCACCTGGCCCTAGCCTAATTGATGAGACATTGAGTGGGGGTGGGGGGCAAAACAACAACAGAAAACAGCATCTGAGGAATGATACCCTAAGTTAGCCTTTGCCTCTCATGTACACCCATGCACATGTACACACACACACACACACACACACACACACACACACACCCAAGAAAAAGGTTGAGCCCCTCAGACTCTTTTAAGTCCCTCTCTGTCTGCAGGTTCTACATCTGTGGGTTTAACCAATATCTTGGATCAAAAGTATGTAAGGAAAGACAGGTGTGTCTGTACTGAGCACGTACAGACCAAAAAAAAAAAAAAAAAAAATCGTGATTCCCTGGGAATACAATATAACAACTATTCACATAGCATTTACATTTTGGTGGGTGTTACAATTAATGTAGACATGATTTAAAACACAGGAGACACTGTGAATAGGTTCTATGAAAATATACCACTTTATATCATGGACTTAAGGCTTCAGGTGTTGGCATAATTCTGTAATCCCAATACTTGAGAGGCTGAGGCAATTGTGAGTTAAAGGTCAGCCTAGACTACATAGCAAGTTCTCAAAAGAACCAAGATCTGGGATGTAGTTTATTGGTAGAATTCTTGCCTTAAACAGGAAAAGGAGGGAGAGGAAGAAGTAAGGGAGGAGATCTGAGTATCTGCAAATTTTGAAATTTGAGTAGATTCCTAGACCAGTCCCTATAGAGGCTCCGGATGACAGTGTTCTGTTGGTTTTGTTCTGGAAGAAATCAGTTCTGACTTGGAAGGTTCTCACTGGTTCTAGTTCTTAAGGAACCTCCAGATTCAACATGCCCTGTGTGTAAACAGAGGCAGCCTGGGTCTGGGCAAGTAGGATGGTCACAGCAGCTGAGGCCAGGTGTATGGTAGACATTCAGGGCAGGAAACTTCTCCTCTGTGGCCTGTACTTACAGCCTGTAGAGCCTAGTTCTTTCCTCCCTTTCCCTAGCCATGCCAACAGACTCTCAGCCTTTTCTCCACACCGTCCTTGTTATTTTGTCTAGCATGAACTCTTTGTCCTCCCAGAACAGCAATGGGGAGAGAAGGAATTGAGACAGAAATGGATTATCTCTTTGGAAAAGACTCCTAAGTTGCTGCAGTCTGGGCCTCCAGTAATGTCTTACTCTGGTTGGGCTGCTATAAAAATAAAAATAAGGTTACAGATCCCATGGCTTCTAAGTAACAGTTTTTTTTTTTTTTTTTTCAATTTTTGAGGACTGAGAAGTTAGAGATGAAGGCACCAGCAGATTCAGGGTCTGGTGAGGTTCCAATTTCTGCTTTATAGACTGTGCCTTCTTGCGTGGTCTCTGTGTCATGGGGGGATATGTCAGCTTTCTGGGGCCTCTTCTTAGAAGGATACTAATCCCACTTTTGAGGGACCTAACTACTTCCCAAAGGCCCTCATTCCATTGGTGATTTGGTTTTAGTATATGAGTATGTTGGTCTAAATGAAACCCAGCTACCTGGGAAACTGGATTAAGAGGATCATAAATTCAAGTTCTTTTGGACTGCAAAGTGAGTCTGAGGCTAGCCTGGGCAATTTAGTAAGACCCTCTCTCAAATGAAAACAGAACTGTGAAAATGCACTGAGAATAGTTCAGTACTTAGCTTGTGCTAAATACTAGCTCCAGCACCTCAAAAAGAAAGAAAGAAAACAAACAACAACAAAAAACCAAAACAGCAGCAATAGAATTCTAGACCATAGAAAACTACAACCCCCTTTTCCCTTCATGAAGTTCCAAATAAACCTGAGCCTTTGAAGATGTCTACTGTGCTTCATCTTGAGGTTAAGGAAGCCACTAGGGATACCAGTTGGCTTGGACACCTCCCCCAGAGCTCTTCTCTAGGGATTGTGACACTGCACTCCAGGGACTATCCCTGGTGAGTGAGCATGGAAGGGGAACTTACAGAGATTTTACTTAAAGTATTGAATGAACTACCATGTGTGGATCATCCCGTGTGTAATGGGTTGCTATGTGAGACACCTACATATGCAAGCATGTCATCTGATCTTTAGGAGAAACCCAGGGTGGGTATAGCAATGGCTTTCAACTGAGGAGGATTTTGCTACCCATGGACTATGTGGCAATGTGTAGAGACATTTTTAAATGTCCCAACTTGGGATGGGTGAGTACAAACAGCATCTGGGGATGTTCTAAACTTGCTGTATACACAGGACAGCTTCATCTACAAACCATTATACTCAGGCATTGTCTATTGACAGGGACATAGTCAAGACATTTGTCTATAGGGGAGTTCATTACAGAGTGACCTATACAAGCCTAACAGTACAGCTCAGTCATTCCACATGGCTTCTTGCAATAAAGAGATGTATGAGGCTGCTATATGTTGTTTACAGTAAACCTTTTCTTTCTAGGTAGAAGACATATACTCTAAAATAGTAATAAAGGCTTTGTACAACACACGTGCCAGTATATTAGCTACTTTTGCCCTTGCTGTGACAAAGCACCTGAATAAAAGCAACTTAAGAAAGAGAGGGAAGGTGTGGTCTGGGTGTGTGAGAAAGCTGATTACAGGCATCTGCAGTCAGGAGGCAGACAGAGATGGATGCTGGTGCTCAGTCAGCTTTCTCCGTCCTATTCCTGAGAGCCCAGCTCATCAGGTGGTACCACACACATTGAAGGCCTGTCTTCCTACCTAGGTGATTATAAACTTGTCAATTTAACAATGAAGATTGGCCACCGCAACAAGTAAAACAGTCGTTATGAACAAGCATTAGGTAACCACATATAGCTGTGCGTGTGTACTTTCATATAGTAGTGTCACCAAAACCACAGCAGTGATGTGCCTTACTGCGTCTTCACAACATTACTAGGTGATAAGACTTTTTCAGCTCCACTGTAATAAGACTTTCATTGGACATGTGGTCCAGTATCGACCAAACATTATTAATGTGGAGCATGACAGTATCCAGTCTAATTTTTCCAGATACCAAAGCTGAGAAACATACAAATACAAAAGGAAAAACTTGGGTTTGAAACAGTTCAGAGGCTTCCCCAAGGTCTTTTGTCAAAGCAGATCTGGATTCTAATGTACTTCTGTATGAGCCCCAAGTCTCTTTGTCGTTTTAGTTACAAAACACCCCTGTGAAGGACCAACTGCCCTCTTGATAGCATCTATCCTGGGAGAGAAGACATTCTGGTATTTCTCACCAGGCAAGCAGACAGCAACCAGTGTCTGCTGGAGCAGGAGCCAGGCAAGTCCTGAAACAGCTACTGATGGACAAAGCCTTTCCCATCAGGTCCGCTGGACTTTTCCAGAGACTGGAGTCCATCCTCTTCCTACCGGGCATTTGAAATCTCTTGAGTCCATGAAGTGGCTTTGGCAGCCCTGGCAGGGCTTTGCTAAGAAACCCAATGGCTTCTGGGCCTATGCAGTGGCAACCAGGAAAGGCTCCGTCCGTGAAGGGTTGGATTAAAATAGGCCTTAACAACACTCTGCAGTGGGAAAAGCCCTAATGTCAGGGGAATCAAGGCTGGTGCTGGGGGTGGCCTGCAGTCATCTTTCAGTGGTCAAGTAGTAGATGATGAATAAAACGGTCCTTTAGCTATTTTTCTCATTTCCTATTTCACGCTCTTAGTTTTGCTTTGCTTCCTGTAGTGCTGTTAGTCATCTTAAAAGTGTTATGAAGAGCTGGGCACCTAGCTCAGCCGAGAGCATTTGCGTGGCATTCACAAGGCACTGGGTCCCAGTACCACCCCATAAATAAAACCAACAAACCAAAACAAAAAGAGCAGAGCTGCTGCTTGAATGGAGCAGGAGTCCGTGTAGGAAGTGGAAGAAGCATCTAGGAAATGTGAGAGGGTCATGCAGGGTGGAGTGTGTCTCCAGAATGGGCTGGTTCAGGAAGGATGGGAGCCTGCTGCAGTATCTGGACCCCAGTCCCTGACGACAGTGCTTTAAGAAGTTGGCTGTCGGGATAGCCCTGCCCCTCCTCCTCCTCAGCGCTCAGCAGCCACGCATTTTCCTGCTATTTCTTGAAATAACTTGAGTACAACAGACTCGCCATCCATTAGAGGGGGGAGCGGTTCTTTATTCAGGCCACACTGCCTTTTTATTCAAGTGTCCTCGGTGCTAATGGGGACATGGGGTCTCAACACACGTGCGCACGCCCCTGTGCATGTGGCTGCTGGGGGAATTATACCCATGAATGTGGATGAATGGGCAGGGACAATGAACTACAGTGAATGAGTAGTTGTAAGGGAGCCTTTCATGAGGCCTGAATGACAAGTGAACTCCCAAGAAGGGGCCAGCAGGAACACTAACTACATCCAAAAAAACCAGAGAGGACTTTTCTGCCTGGCAGAATCAGGCACTCGGGGGGAACCAGAGTCCCTCCAATTAGCAAGATGACTGGACAGATGGAAGCCGGAAGGAGCACACACCCTTATTATGGGACTGCTCTGAGATCAGGGCTAGTTCTTTCAAAGAAAGGATGGAAAACAGCAGGAAAGTGTGACCATGTCTTCTCTGGTGAAACCTGGGGTTAGTTGAGGGGGTAGTGCCTAAGGGAAGCAGTCTTTTTACCAAAGGAGAATGGTATAAGGGCTCCTTCCTATCTTAGTGGGACTTCTGCTTCTCAGTATATATGAGTTAAGAAAAGAACGTTCAGTTTCTGAAGCCACTGTTTTATTTTCTTAATAGCAACCCAATAATGTTTCCTCTACCAACCTCTTTGAACCTCTCTGACATCTCTTCTCCCTCCAGGCCACTACCCCCATCTCTGCATGGACAGTTTAGCTGGGTATATGAAGATGAATAAAGTAGGGTTAATCTAAAGGATTCCAAAGGCTTGTAAAGGGTGACACATGGATTAAAACAAAACAAAACAAAACAACAACAACAAAAACACAAGTAGTTCTAGAAACAACTGGTTTAATGAGAAAGATCAGACAAAGCAGCAAGGTAAAAGTAGGTAGGTGCAGGGCAGTGGTGGCACACGCCTTTAATCCCAGCACTTGGGAGGCAGAGGCAGGTGGAGCTCTGTGAATTCAAGACCAGCCCTGGTCTACAAGAGGTAGTTCCAGGACAGCCTTCAAAGCCACAGAGAAACCCCGTCTCAGAAAAAAAAGAAAAGAAAAGAAAAGTAGGAAGGTTTCCTTAGAGGGAGGATGTTGACATGGGCCAGAAGACTAGGCTTTGAGTGGATTAGAGGTGTCCACGTTGGTGGTCAGTCATGGAAGAGATTCTAGGTGAGCCAACAGCCTTAGCAAGGCCAGGAGGTAGAGTGTGCTACAGGTGCTATAGTGTTATCAGGAGGGCATGGGGGGGATTGATGGTAGATGAAGGGCTGAACAGAACTGGAAAGAAGCAGGTACTAAGCTGTTTTACATGCTCTGTGACAAAATTCCTGACACATCAACTTAAAGGAAAGTGACTTTGGCTTCTGGTTTCAGAAGGAACAGTCCATCATGGAGGACATGGCAGCTACAGAAGTTCCATACACAGTGCCAGCAGCTCGAGGTGGCAGCTGCTTATATTGGTGGATTAGGTAGAGTATCAGACCAGAGCTGGAGGCTGGCATAACCCTGGGATTAGTGAGTCTTCTTGACAGAGGCAATTAAAAAAATCACTCCTTTAGAAAGGAAACAGATTTATTTTGGCTCGCAGTTCCAGGGTGCATTCTGCCATGGTAGAGGCTTGGGGCAGCTGGGAACCTTATATTCTCAGTTAGTAAGCAGAGAGCAATGGACGCTGGTGCTAGATAGCGGTCACCTTTTTATGCAGTCCAGGATTCCAGGATGCAGAATTGTACCACCTATTGTAAACGGAGTTCTTAACTGGTCTAGATGATAAAAAACCAGAGTCAGATAACAGAGGAAAATGCTGAGAGATCAGAGAGAATGAGCAAGCCCCTGCCACACCTTACCTCCTTAGCGTCTCAGCAGACAAGAGAACAATTTTCCTGTTTCTGCCTGCTTATATCCTCTCTCTGTCGGGCCATCTCACTTCCTGTATGTCTGTACAGACCGCCAGACCTCTATGGTTAGCTAGTGGCGTGCTCCATTCTCTGACCTACAGAGGCTTTATTTGTGCAAGTAAGATATCACCACAACTTATATTCATGATAGATCTTCTCATTTGAAAGAATATCTGGAAACACCCAGCACAGACATGCCCAAACACTTGTCTGCTAGGTGATTCTAAATCCTGTCAATTAATATTCAACATCGGGATTTCCAAAGGCCCACTTGTAGTGGCTAACATGATCAGCCAGGCCTCACACCCCAAGGTTCCATAGCAGTCCAAAGCAGCACCGTTAGTTAGGTACAAAGTGTTTAAACTTCCAAGCATGGGACAGCATGCATTTCTGACTCAAAACATAACTTAGACTGTGGAGGGTTGTGAGTGAGTACTGATTTCTGAAAGGGAAATTAAGCAGTGGTTTCAGAGAAGTTGCCGGGGTTCCCAGCTGGAAGGGACTGGGTCAGTGTTTTACAATGTAACTTCTACTGGCTACAAAGTTTCATCTGTTTACTCAATGAGCATTTGTTGAGCTCCAACTGTGTGCCAGACTCTGTGCTCAATGGTATAGCTATAGTGGTAAGTGTGGCAGTCGCCAGTACTTACAGTTGGCTAGCCTTTCTGCTTTCATTGTCTTCTACCGGCTCTCCTCCAATACCAGAATTTCCAGATTGCATCAAGGCAGAGTTGGCAGTAGGTATGGACAGCACCCTGGGGTGGTGCCAGGATGCTGACAAACTGTTTCAGACTCTCGTTCTGTAGTGGTAGAAACAGATAGGGTGCTTTGAGGACAACTGTACCCGGGGGTGACTGGGGTGTTAGATTCATAAGGAAAGGTCCAGTTCTTAGATCATATCTTTTAAGGTTTGTCACATTAAAAGTAAATACCTGTCTCTTATTCTTACACTAAGTTTTGACGTCCAGTATTGGAGACATCTTTAGTAAGTAAGCAGTTGTACCTTTTTAACGATCATACAACATAAATCTAGCCTAAGATTACATTATTTTTGTTTGTTTGCTTTTCTTCCATAAACAGATTTTCATTTATCAGGTTTAATTTTGTGGCTTCATACAAAAACCTGGGTTTGATCTCCAGCCTGTAGTGTGTGTGTGAGTGTGTGTGTGTGTGTGTGTGTGTGTGTGTGTGTGTGTGTGTAGTTGCTTAATGTTGCTGGTTTTAAAAAAACATCAATATTGCCAGGTGTGGTGACAGCACTCAGAGGCAGAGGCAGGTAAATATGAGTTCAAGATCAGCCTGATCTACATAATGAATTCTAGACAAGGCAGTGCCAAACAGTGAGCTTCCCATCTCAAAAGAACCAAACCAAACAAAATGTTGATTATCATTTCTTTTAAAATTGCGCCCTGGTGTCATGAAATATGACTTTAATCCCAGCACTTAGAAGGCAGAGTCAGGCAGATCTCTATGAATACAAGACTAGGGTGGCCTTAATAGTGAGTTCCAGGCTACTCAGAACTACAGAGTGAGATCCTGACTCTAAAAACCATTTAAATTAATTATTTTTTAGTTAGTATACAAGATAACATTTTTCTTTCTGTGACATTTTCACATGTTTTTATCATAGCACCTGTTCATGTCTTCCACCTTCCCCTTTACTGTCTTGTTCTGGTCACAGCTCCCCCAGCATCGTGACATACACACAAAGGACCCCCATCTCGGCATCCAGCTGCAGTGGTACTAGGATGCTGTCGTCACATTCAGCTCATGCCTCCACTTTGGCCTTGCACTGCCTCCCTTCCCGCCTGACTCTGGTTCTCTGGGGTTGCTTCATCTTCATCACAATCAACTCACTCTTCTGAATCCCAGACTGGCCCCTCCCTTTCCTGCTATTCATCTGTAGCCAACCAGGTCTTTCCATCTTCTACCCTCTCTTCAGTCTTCCTTTCACTGGGAGGATTCCCTTTCTCTCCCTTCCCTCCCACACCTTCTTAGATTTCTGCCACCTACTTGGGTTCTCTTCCATTCCTCTGCCCCACCCTTTGATGTCTGCAGGGAGGCTTCTGCCTGAGGCAGAAGGATGAGGATGATGCTACCCCTTCATATACTACTACTTATTCCTCCTGCCCCCAGTTTAATGAATCACCCAACTTCTCCATAAAACATTCTGTGTTGTCTACAAACAAGCTCAAGATCATGTCACGAGAGGCAGCTCTACTGAAGCATACATGCAGCTACCAGATCTTTCTGTTTATTTAATCACCTTACCCCAGGGCCAAGGGTCAGGTCAGCAAATTTTGTTGACTAATTTAATTTTGTTTTCTGCAAATCCCAGCTTCCTGCTTGTGTAGGCCTTCCCTCTAGATCCCCGGGGATACTGTGAGTTTGTCGTTACTTGGGACTGAAGTCTTATGCCCCAGGAATTCCAAGGCCCCAAGCAAACTGAGACAGAAGGGTGCTCAGTACATCCTATATCCTTTTCCTGAACACAGCTTGGCACACACACAAATGCATGACTACACCTACACCAATAAAGTTATGTCAGTCAGTGAATCCACAGCAGGAAGGCCTAACACATCACTACCAAGGTCCACTGGTTGGTACTGCCTACTGTGACAGTCAGCTTCATTGTCAGCCTCCTGGGAATATCACCCAGGAGATGGCAAGGCACACCTTTTTGTGTGTCTGTGAGGAGATTTCCAGAAGGAAGAAGACACACTTTGAATGGGAATAGCACCTCCTTCGTGACTGGGTGTGGGGGAGAAGCCAGCAAAATACTGGCATAAATGTCTTCCCTGTCATGATGGGTTGAGCCCACTAAAACTGAGAGGCAAAATAAATTTGTCTTCCTTCTAAGGAGTCTTGTCAACTGTCACAGGAACATGAAAGTAACTAGTAAACTTATCTAGTACATGCTGATGCCAGGTTTGCCACAGCTGTGCTAGAGCCATTGAATACATTCCAAGGTGTTCCCTAGGCTGCGGTTAAGGATGAAATCATTTGGTGTTTTGTTTTGAGACAGGCTCTCTCTAAATAGCCCTGTCTGTCTTGGAACCCAATATGTAGATCAGGCTGGCCTCAAACTCACAGAGATCCACCCGCCTCTGCTTCTGCCTCTGCCTCCCAAGTGCTGGGATCAAAGGTGTGCACCATCACATTGGGCCTTTTATTTTTTTTTTATGAAAACATTATAAACCAGGCATGGTAGTGCACATCTTTAATCCCAGTACTCAGAAGGCAGAGGCAGGTGGATCTCCATGAGTTGAAGGCCAGCTGGGACTAAAAAGCAAGTTCTAGGACAGGGCTATTCTACAGAGAAACCCTGGCTCATGGAATCCTACTTCTAAACACTAGGCCCTGGGCCAGGAACTGTGATAGAGGTTGGGGATTCAGTATTGGATGAAACTGCAAGAGGAGACGGGAGGAAGAGAAGCTTCACTGGACTGTGATAGATGATGAATGCTCTTATAAGGAACAGAGGGAGCCCAACATGCCAGCACATGACAGTCTTAACTCCCAGCCTCATCCCAAGTACTCAAGAGGTGAGATTGGAGGACTAGGGGTGCAAGGCTAGTTGGGGCTACACACTAAAGTCTTATTTCAAATTATAAAAGAGAAAAAAGGAGCAGAGAGGGGGCACATGCCTTTCAAACACATAGTCATCTTCCCTGTGGAAGTGTTGTCCGAACAACCCCAGGGCTTAGGCATGGGAAGCTGAGTAGAGAAACCAGGGCTTAGGCATGGGAAGCAGAGAGAGAAGCCTGGGAGGGTGGTGGAAGAAAAGAAAGGTTTACAGAGAATTCACAGGGAATAGAAGGGGAAGAAAGAGGGAAGACAGTGACCCCACAGGACACAGGGTCTTAAATTATGGCTTGCAATGCTCTAAGAAGAAATATAACTGAATGCGAGGGACAGTCGTCAAAAAATTGTCAGCAGTAAAAAAATTTTGAAGACACAGTCATAAATTACCCCAGATATCCAGTGGAATCCCAGTGGTGCCAGTGACTCCTTATACTATGGATCAAAAGCAGCCAGCATAGTGAATATAGCTTGGATAATGGGAGATGAGCTGAGAGGAAAGAATGGCCTTGCATGGGAGCTTGAAGCCAAACAACTGCCTTTTTCTCATATAACTTCATCTGTGAAGGAGGACTCTGTCCTGATCACTGCTGTAGTGGCAGGATCCCGATGATGACCACACATAGCATTCCAAGTGTTTGGTAAATACTTGGAATGCTATGACAATGCAGTGTTCCTGCAGTTAATCCCTCCTAGGATACAACTATCCCCTCTAAAAGTTGCTATGATACAGGTTCTAGAAGGTGGAAGTCAGTAGTGCCTGGCCTACCAAGCACATCATGCCAGGCCAGCCCTGTTCTCGTCTTGGCTGTCCTATGAGGAGGCTGTACAGGTTCAGAAAGAATGAGCAGTGGCCCGTGAGCCAGAAATCCCAATTTCTAGACTCATCTTTTTAAGCTGTGGCCTCAAGAAACCCTGTCTCTGATGCGGTGAGTAATGCCTGTCCAGGGTCATTGCAGGAACAGGTGACATAAGGACCAAACATGAGCGCTCATGAGCAACTGATGTGTTAGCTGTGGCACCTAACTTCCTGGTTGTCTCTTGAGTTCTTAGAGTGGACAGAATGTTTACTATCGGGGTGGAGGAGCAGCTCAGTGGGTAGAGTGCTTGCTTCGTAGGATTGAAGCCCTGGATTTGATATCCAGTATTGCATAGCCCAGGCATAGTGTAATATAATTCTGTAAGTCCAGCACTCACGAGGTAGGAACAAGATTATCACAAATTCAGGCTCATTCTCAGCTTTATAGAAAGATTAAGGCCAGTCTGTGATACGGAATCCCTGTCTATTGAAAAAAAAAATGGTGATGCTAAACTTCCTCTTCATCCATGTTTGGCTATTATTGGAAGAAACATGACTGACCCATGACCTACATGGTAAGGTGATTGTGCATCCCAGCCTTTGTCTGTTGTCCTAATGGAGTCAGTTATTCAGATAAAATATAATTAAAGAGACATCCAACTCAAATTCACACTTATCTATAATTTCCTGAGGAAAATAAGACATGATGCCTCCTCCCAAGGAGCTGCTCAGGCTGTGGCCAACAAAGTGATAGAGGTGCAAAGAAAATACCTGAACCATGGGTCTCAATGTCAGTGGGCATTGGGGGTCTCAGCTCTGAGCAGCCTCTATGCACCAGTCATCCACCCTTCCTAGTCCCCAGGCAATGGAGGCTTGTGATCTGGGATTTGATTTCACACAGGGCAACATTGCTTTCTTCAGACACAGCCAAGCAAGGCAATGGTGAGGGAAATGTACTCACCCACATTCCCCGCACCTTCCTGAGCAACCTCACTGGGTCAGAGGAGGTCATTCCAGCAGAAAGGTGAGCATGCAGAAAGCCACCAAGAAGCAGTGCTGGCATGTCAGGACAGCATCACTGGGGCTGGAAATGCACAGAGGTCTTGGGGTGTAGCTCCGGTAACTCTTGTGTCCCTGATCTCCATAAGCTTTTTCAGGGTGTCCTCGTGTGCCTCTGGCTCTGCCAGCTGTTAACCCTGCAGGAAAGTTCACAGGCACCAAGGGGACAAAATCAGAGACTGGGGTGGCAGCTGGGTGGCAACCTGCTGATACCCTGAGCTTCTGAAGAGGTTTGTGGTTTTGTTTTCCCACTGGATACTGTAGAGCAGGCAGGTTCAGAGGGTCTTGGGCCATTTGTTGAATATGAGGCTCTGGTTCCAGCAATGGTGAGCCCTAGAAGAAAGGGGATGGGGCAAGGCAGGACAGAAGTGACAGAAATCACATTCCCTGGCCAGACACATCAAATGATACTGAGAGAGGTTTTCCGCTCAAGCCAGGTAGAGACACACCTGGAACGGCCCATGCCATGCAGCACTCGCTCTAACATACTCAGGTGTACCCGATACTTAACAGGCAACTGAAGCTGGGGTGGCTTTGCAGTGCTCCCTTCATTTTGTAGTTCACCTGTTATCTCTCTTGTGTTCCCCCACTCCAGAACACCAATTTACTCCTGCCTGGCACAGCACAACATAAACAAACACACATGGCAGACATACCACAAAAAATACTTACTCAATACTTGTGTAAGCGCACATGAGTGCGCTCACAGACACACAGACATCCCATAGTAGGTATGGAGGAGCTAGCATAGGGTAGGGATGAGGGAGTGGCAAGTCAGGGAGAAACAAAGCCTTTTAAGGCAGCTCTCATCTGCGGCTTTCTTCGATGCCCCCATTCTTCTCCCACACTTGCGCACCATTGAGTTTTCTATCCTCCCTGCTTAAGGCAGAGCCCTCCTCAGGATCCCATAAGGGATTTCTACCTTTTCCTGTTTCATCTCTTGTTACAAGTTACAAATTTCTGCCTGGCCTTCATCAGGGCTGGTGACTGATGATGACAGTGGATATCTCAGGTTGCTGGGGGTGCAGGTTAGGCACGTGATCTCACCTTGAGTCTGATCTGAGTCTTTTTTAAAATGGTACCTTTCAGTATGGAACGCTATCCCTACCCCCACCCTTTCTTCCAAAGTTAAAAACAGACATAATCAGGAAGCAGGCTTATGGTGCTGACTACGATTCTGCCTTGCTGACAGCCTCAGACAGTCGCAGACCTTGCCATGGCTTCTGAGTGTGGAATGTTGAAGCATTTCTGTGCTTAAAAATTCCTCCAGAGTCCTACCAAGCACATCATGCCAGGCCAGCCCTGTTCTCGTCTTGGCTGTCCTATGAGGAGGCTGTACAGGTTCAGAAAGAATGAGCAGTGGCCCGTGAGCCAGAAATCCCAATTTCTAGACTCATCTTTTTAAGCTGTGGCCTCAAGAAACCCTGTCTCTGATGCGGTGAGTAATGCCTGTCCAGGGTCATTGCAGGAACAGGTGACATAAGGACCAAACATGAGCGCTCATGAGCAACTGATGTGTTAGCTGTGGCACCTAACTTCCTGGTTGTCTCTTGAGTTCTTAGAGTGGACAGAATGTTTACTATCGGGGTGGAGGAGCAGCTCAGTGGGTAGAGTGCTTGCTTCGTAGGATTGAAGCCCTGGATTTGATATCCAGTATTGCATAGCCCAGGCATAGTGTAATATAATTCTGTAAGTCCAGCACTCACGAGGTAGGAACAAGATTATCACAAATTCAGGCTCATTCTCAGCTTTATAGAAAGATTAAGGCCAGTCTGTGATACGGAATCCCTGTCTATTGAAAAAAAAAATGGTGATGCTAAACTTCCTCTTCATCCATGTTTGGCTATTATTGGAAGAAACATGACTGACCCATGACCTACATGGTAAGGTGATTGTGCATCCCAGCCTTTGTCTGTTGTCCTAATGGAGTCAGTTATTCAGATAAAATATAATTAAAGAGACATCCAACTCAAATTCACACTTATCTATAATTTCCTGAGGAAAATAAGACATGATGCCTCCTCCCAAGGAGCTGCTCAGGCTGTGGCCAACAAAGTGATAGAGGTGCAAAGAAAATACCTGAACCATGGGTCTCAATGTCAGTGGGCATTGGGGGTCTCAGCTCTGAGCAGCCTCTATGCACCAGTCATCCACCCTTCCTAGTCCCCAGGCAATGGAGGCTTGTGATCTGGGATTTGATTTCACACAGGGCAACATTGCTTTCTTCAGACACAGCCAAGCAAGGCAATGGTGAGGGAAATGTACTCACCCACATTCCCCGCACCTTCCTGAGCAACCTCACTGGGTCAGAGGAGGTCATTCCAGCAGAAAGGTGAGCATGCAGAAAGCCACCAAGAAGCAGTGCTGGCATGTCAGGACAGCATCACTGGGGCTGGAAATGCACAGAGGTCTTGGGGTGTAGCTCCGGTAACTCTTGTGTCCCTGATCTCCATAAGCTTTTTCAGGGTGTCCTCGTGTGCCTCTGGCTCTGCCAGCTGTTAACCCTGCAGGAAAGTTCACAGGCACCAAGGGGACAAAATCAGAGACTGGGGTGGCAGCTGGGTGGCAACCTGCTGATACCCTGAGCTTCTGAAGAGGTTTGTGGTTTTGTTTTCCCACTGGATACTGTAGAGCAGGCAGGTTCAGAGGGTCTTGGGCCATTTGTTGAATATGAGGCTCTGGTTCCAGCAATGGTGAGCCCTAGAAGAAAGGGGATGGGGCAAGGCAGGACAGAAGTGACAGAAATCACATTCCCTGGCCAGACACATCAAATGATACTGAGAGAGGTTTTCCGCTCAAGCCAGGTAGAGACACACCTGGAACGGCCCATGCCATGCAGCACTCGCTCTAACATACTCAGGTGTACCCGATACTTAACAGGCAACTGAAGCTGGGGTGGCTTTGCAGTGCTCCCTTCATTTTGTAGTTCACCTGTTATCTCTCTTGTGTTCCCCCACTCCAGAACACCAATTTACTCCTGCCTGGCACAGCACAACATAAACAAACACACATGGCAGACATACCACAAAAAATACTTACTCAATACTTGTGTAAGCGCACATGAGTGCGCTCACAGACACACAGACATCCCATAGTAGGTATGGAGGAGCTAGCATAGGGTAGGGATGAGGGAGTGGCAAGTCAGGGAGAAACAAAGCCTTTTAAGGCAGCTCTCATCTGCGGCTTTCTTCGATGCCCCCATTCTTCTCCCACACTTGCGCACCATTGAGTTTTCTATCCTCCCTGCTTAAGGCAGAGCCCTCCTCAGGATCCCATAAGGGATTTCTACCTTTTCCTGTTTCATCTCTTGTTACAAGTTACAAATTTCTGCCTGGCCTTCATCAGGGCTGGTGACTGATGATGACAGTGGATATCTCAGGTTGCTGGGGGTGCAGGTTAGGCACGTGATCTCACCTTGAGTCTGATCTGAGTCTTTTTTAAAATGGTACCTTTCAGTATGGAACGCTATCCCTACCCCCACCCTTTCTTCCAAAGTTAAAAACAGACATAATCAGGAAGCAGGCTTATGGTGCTGACTACGATTCTGCCTTGCTGACAGCCTCAGACAGTCGCAGACCTTGCCATGGCTTCTGAGTGTGGAATGTTGAAGCATTTCTGTGCTTAAAAATTCCTCCAGAGTGGGCAGTGGTGGCACACACCTTTAATCCCAACACTTGGGAGGCAGAGGCAAACAGATCTCTGTGAGTTCTAGGCCAGCCTGAACTACAAAGCTAGTCTAGGTTAGCGAGGACTGTTACACAGGGAAACCCTGTCTCCGAAGAGAGAGAGAGAGAGAGAGAGAGAGAGAGAGAGAGAGAAAGAGAGAGAGAGTTCTTCCAGAGCTGGTGATATAGCTCAGCTGGTAGAATACTTGCCTAGAATGCTGGAAGTCCTGGGTTCAATTCCTAGCACCACACAAAGGAGATGTGATGGCCACAGTACCTATAATCCCAGCAGGTGAGATTTAGAAGCAGGGGGATCAGACACACTCAGCTATACAGTGAGTTTAAAGCTAGAAGTTTAAGGTCAGTATGAGCTACATGAGACACTGTCTTTATCTATCTGTCTGTCTGTCTATTATGTATATATCTATCATCTATCTACCATCTATCTGTCTGTCTATCTATCTATCTATCTATCTATCTATCTAACTTGGAGACACAATGTCACTTTTGTAGTCTTGGCTTCCTGGAACTTGTTATGTACCCATCTGTCTCTGTCTCCAGTGCTGGGCTTAAAGGTGTGTACCACCACACCCAGAAAGACTCTATCTTAGAAAAACAAACAAACCAACAAAAATATTTCTCCATCTGTCATTTCATCTGCAACCTGGGGCCAAGTTCTTTCCGTGCCTGCCAACTCCCAAGGCCTCTTAGCCTTGTCTACCAGATGGGCCTTAGGCCCAGGTTGGGGAGGGGTTGCCTCTGTGATGGCCCGGGATGGACCCCACCATCTCTGTATTCAAAGGATGCCATTAGAAAGGGACTCCTTGCCTCTGGCTTTTGGGGTGGAATGGGATGGGGTAAGTCAGTAGACAGGATCTTCATGTGGAAGAACAGTGACTGGAAAAAAACCAGAATTTTCAAGAGACCCACAGAAGCACTCCTCGGAGTCATTAACTTTCAGGACTTAGGGAGTTTGAAGCATATCCAGCCTACATAGAGACTAGAGAATATCCAATTGGCCAAGTGCTGACCAAATGCCAGTTCTAATGCCCAGAGCCGGGAATGTCACGGTGCGTTTAACAGGGTGTCAACATACCCCATTCCCAAATCTACGGTTGTTTCATCACGGCCTTTCAGATCCTTCCCAATCTGATCTTGGTCTCAAAATCATTTCTGTCTGTCCACGTGAGGTGGCAAAGTATCTAGGCAGCTGTCCAACCCTCCTTGCTCTCACACATTCCGTCCTCTAAGATCAGAATCTCGGTTCTTTGGTCCAACTGTCCAACTGTCTGCCCCATGCCAGTACTGCCCACCCTGCTAGACTTTGGCACCCACAGCACCGAGAGCCATGTATGTGAAAGAGAATGCTTTTGGCTTGCTTTTGTAGGAGCAGCCACACCAGCGGCAGTAGGGTAAATTTGCCTGAGCTTTGCAGGTAACCGGGGCTTTGTGTTTGAAATGGGGGAGGCTGGGATGGCAATCATATTCCTGAGGAGAGATGTCGATCAGCTGCTGACAAACACAAGCTGCCTACCGGGATGGAGGAAGGCTCAGCTGGTAGCAGAATGCTGCCGACCTGCACACAAAAGGCTGCCAGGCACAGTGGCTTTTGATTCCTCCAGAGCAGTGAGAAGCAGAATTGCTTCTGATTGTGCCATGGAATGACTCAGCCTGCCAGTGATTACCCTTTCACTTTCTGCCTTGTCTCTGTATCCAAGTTCACTTAATTGA